TACTGCTTGGTGACGTCCCTACCATTCAGGATCTACGATCTGTTGCCTGTGTCCTTCAATGAACGGGAGAGAAAATAGGATTTTTGTACTCACCGTAAAATCCTTTTCTCTCCGTTCATTGAAGGACACAGGCCCCGCCCTCTTTATGGGGTGTACACTCCTAACTGCTTGTTACTAAACTGGAGACTTGTCAGCAGGTGGGGGGTTTGGCCACCGGCAGGGGCCGCCCCTAGGCTGTAATTGGTCTTTAGTTTTGTGCCTAGCGTCCTTCTCCTGCAGGTGGCGATATTACCCTACCATTCAGGATCTACGATCTGTTGCCTGTGTCCTTCAATGAACGGAGAGAAAAGGATTTTACGGTGAGTACAAAAATCCTATTTTTTCATTAATCTGTCTGCTCCAGCATCTTCCCCAGTTTTCTTGCTTTGTTCATTTTCTACTCTGTCCACTCCATCTTCTGCCCACTTGCACCTACTACTGAATCTGTCCTCCCTTTGCCCACTCTGCTTCTGTCTACTATCTGTCATCTCACTTACATAATGTTTGGGCACACAAAAAAAACAAGACTGATTCCTAATGTTATGTAGTGACCCAAGACATTAGCAACTGTTCTTCCAACAGGACTTGATTCTGAACCTGCCCCTTCATCATACCAAAGCTTCATAACATGGCATAGCAGGACTCAAATGTAAGCTGCCAAGTTAGCATGCAGACATATTTTAAGCCCACCTGCCTATAATAACAAGTGGCATGCTCCTTACCATCTTGTCTTGAATTGTATTGTAATGTCTTCCTTATATTGTAAAGCGCTGTGCAAACTGTTGGCGCTATATAAATCCTGTATAAGAATAATAATAATAATAATAAAAAAGGACAAATGCACCTTTGTTTTGAAAATCTAACTAAGATTTTGTAAGGGTGTGCCTAACTTACCTCTATTGTTTAAAATTAACCAAAACGTGTCTGTTTCCATCATCACTAAGTGACCATCCAGGCTTTTGTGCAGGAACGGGTACATAGGAAGTACTATCCTGTGCATTACAAGTCCCAGCATTAAATGCACCTGAGGAAACAAAATCTTGCTTGCTCACTGGGTTGTCAGCTTTACCCAAGTGTGTATTGCAATAGATGGATTTCATTCAGGACTGCTGAGGTAGAATGGTGAACGTGTGAATGCTGCTAAACCTCTTCAGCATGTTCACCATTCGGCTAACAGGTGGCTAACTCAGTAAAGACCCACCTCTTCTGCAGTGAAGAATATAGATGACTCAGGACCTGGCGTGTTATGTAGCCATGGTTAGTTAAGTAAAAGGGACTTTCCGATTAGAATTGACATAGAAGAAACAGGGATTAATTTGCAGGGGTGGAGTATATACTATCTATCTATTCTATCTATTCTATCTATCTATCTATCTATCTATCTATCTATCTATCTATCTATCTATCTATCTATCTATCTTTCTATCTTTCAAAGATTGGTACCAGCACACAATCCAGAAAAGCATGGCTTGGGTGCTCCACACAGTAGCAGTAGTGTAGCAAAAGTTCAGTAGGCTTTCAGAGGTCTTCAAACCAGAGTACATGCTTAAAGTGTAGGTTTTATTATACTGACATTTTGCAGCCCACATTTCTCAAGGCCTTGGGCCCTCAAGCAGGTTAACTGTACATGTCTGTTTTTTTTTAGATGAAAACAAAAATGAGATAACGTCCTTCCCACACAAACATCTTTCCATTTCTCGTGTCATGAATCCCCCTGGCTGCCACATTCTTGACAGTTGGCAAACAAATTGCAAAGTCAATTTGCAAATTGATTTTTCTGTATTGAACTTTTTTTTTTAAATACTAAAAGATATACTGAGTGTAAGACTACATTTATAACATTTAGGCCAGTAGTTCATAACAATGCTTTTGGGTGTTTCACTCTTGAGAATCTAAGCTGCTAAATCAACCAAAGCTTAGGTGTGTCTTTTTTTAAGCGTGCCTCCTCTTTTATTTTAGGTATTATGGAGAGTCAGAAGCCAAGCTGCGGCAGATATTTGCTGAGGCATCACAACGGTAAAACTTTGTCCAGAAATTTTTTTTTTGTTACAAGTGGTCATAATAAATTGTTTATCTTTATCATACAGACTGCAATATGCCATTAGCAAGGTAGGTAGATTTTTTTTTTGTGCATTATGAAGGTAACTTAGGTTGTTTTTAAAGCACAACTGCACTATTAACATTCAACCCAGGCATTTCTCTGGGCTTTAGTGAAAGATCACAATCAACCCAGGCATTTCTCTGGGCTTTAGTGAAAGATCACAATCAACCCAGGCATTTCTCTGGGCTTTAGTGAAAGATCAAAATCAACCCAGACATTTCTCTGGGCTTTAGTGAAAGATCAGGGCAGCATGGGAATGAGTAGAAAAGAAGTAAACACTTAAGCCCATGACACACTGCATGGCACTGCGAAGCTGTGCAGAGCGGAAGAAAGCTGTCAGGCACGGAGCTTCACATACAGTGTGTGAGCTGAGTGCAGCCAGGTGAATGACTGCATCTTCAGCCAATAGGCTCGCGCATAACAACCGGATGGAGTTTGCATCGTGATGCGTGGGTTTATAGGCACGAGCCGATTGGCTGAAGATGATAGTTTTCATCTCCTCACCCTCAGCTACACAAGCTCTCACAAGCTGATGTGCCGGAGAGAAAATTACATTCCACACTGCACGCGAGGGCAACGCGCCACCGTTCCGCGCTGCTTCGCGCGCAGTGCGTCACAGCCTTTATGGTCTCTACAGTCAAGACAATCTGTTGCTTTGCACAGTGCGATTAAAGTACAAGTTCAGTTTAATCTGTTGCTCTGCTTATTATTATCTGTAAAAAACAATGCTGTATTGTGATGTTTTCCAAGCTTAGTGCATGAAATCCAGAGTGCAACTAGATGTTTGCTACATCAAAACACATGTCCTATTAAGTACTAGCATAGCACACAGCTGGTTTCTATCTATTTGCTTCAAGAATTTACTGTTAATAAAAGATTCACCCTTAGAATATTAAAAAGATGGATAACAGCCAGAACAGCTCCCCTAAGAATGCCTATCCTATCTTGAGGCAGTGCTGTCAGACTGCTGAGGAGGCCTGCTGTTCAGCTAAGGTCAGCTCAAAGCAAAGCTTAACAAAGTGCAGCTTCAACAGGAATGTGACATGGATAATTTCTTTACATTTATATGCAAACAGAGTACTGAAGTACTGATTGCTATGTAATTTAATCGTTCTACCATTAAATTCTACATTTACTGTATTTTTTTAACCTTATAGTCAGCCTTCTATTATATTCATCGATGAGCTGGATGCCCTATGCCCAAAAAGAGAAGGGGCACAGAATGAAGTAGAGAAAAGGGTTGTGGCTTCATTGCTTACACTGATGGATGGGATTGGCTCGGTAAGAATTGTATTGAGACAGATACATGTACTTGAAGTAGTGTGATCCAGTTCCACTTTTAATATTGCGCCCTGTTTTAAAAGGCATTATTTAGAGGAAAAGGAAGGTTATTGGTCTACGACAAGGATAGCCAAACTTTGACCCTCTAGCTGTGGTGAAACTATGTTTCCAGCATGCATCTGCCTCTAGGAGCATTCCTGTGGCTGTCAGAGTCTTCCAATGCCTAATGTGACTTTGAGTTTCACTACAGCTGGAGGGCCCACGTTTGGCTACTCCTGGTAAGAATTCTTGACTGTTGTTACCACTTATGTGGCTGTTAAGGCATATAGACTGTAAGATAAAACGTACTGAGTGTGTAGCCTGGTGCGGTGATCAGACAACAGATGTGCTGTGTCGTGCTACCTTATGGGGATGATAATAGGTATTTATAGTTTCCCAGTTGCTTGTTAGCATTGTACAGGCAGTCCCCGGGTTACGGACGTCCGACTTACGGACAATCCGTACTTACGAACCCGGGTTCAAAGTTTTCCTAAATGTACCGGCAGCTGCCGGTACATTTAGGAGAACTATGGCTGCAGCGGCCTGTGTCCCTTCAAATCCCCACTGCTCTCCACACCTGTGTTGGCGGAGGCAGCGGGGACACAGACCGCTGCATTCCTAGCTGCCCCCCGTACCTCCACTGCTGTCCTGCGGTCCGTCTTCTTCTCTTCCCGGTCCGGCCGATCCTCCAGTCCGGCCGCAGCTCCTTTGCCCCGCCCCCCTGCCTCCTCTTCGTCTGCAGGCTGGGAGCCATACCAAGTCTGCTATTGGATATTGTAAAATGCAATAGCCAATAGCATGCTGGCTATTGCACCCGCCCACTGCCTGCTGTCAATCAGCATGGGAGGACTTGATGGAGAACTTTCTCCTTCAGGCTCCTCCTCTGCTAATTGACAGCAGGCAGTGGGCAGATGCAATAGCCAGCCTGCTATCGGCTATTGCAATTTGAAATATACAATAGCAGGCTGGCTATTGCTCCCAGCATTAAAATAAAATAAAAAAAGTTTTAAAAAAGAAAATTAAAAGACAAAAAAAATTTTAAAAAAGGAAAAAAAAAGTTAAATAAATAAAAATTAAAAATTTAAATAAATAAAGTATATAAAATAAAA